GAAAACAGCCCCAAGACGGCCCAAGAGGCCTACAAGACGGCCCCCAAACGGCCCAAGATGGCCCCAAAACGGCCCAAGAGGTCCCCAAGACGGCCCAAGAGGGCCCCAAGACGGCACCAAGAGGGGCCCAAGAGGGCCACAAAAAATTCAAAACATCTAGCTTTCCGCCCTCAGGAGCCACAAGGGGCCCCCAGAGCACCCCAAGAGGCCGCCAGAGGCTTCCAAGAGGCCCCCAAGACGCCCCAAGGAACCCCCAAGAAGCCCCCCAGAGGCTCCGAAACGGCCCCGAGACGGCCCAAGAGGTCCTCAAGACGGCCCAAGAGGGCTCCAAGACGGCACCAAGAGGGGCCCAAGAGGGCCACCAACAATTCAAAACATCTAGCTTTCCGCCCCCAGGACCACCAGGGGGCCCCAAGAGTGCCCCAAGAGGCCGCCAGAGGCCCCCAAGAGGCCCCCAAGACGCCCCAAGGAACCCCCAAGAAGCCCCTCAGAGGCTCCGAAACGGCCCAGGAACGATTCTGAGCGGATTTTGGTCGGGGTAAGAGAATTGAGGATGAGAGGGAGACGGAGCATGAAGACCACCTGCCTGCTCACCCTCTCGCCGATCCTCCCTCCGCGACTTCGTGCTCCTCCGCCGAAATTTCTCCCCCGTACCCCCTCTCCGTTGCATCAAGTGCGCGTCCTGTACCCACCCCTCTCCCACCATTTATGGCAGAAGAATGCCAGTCTTAGACACAAAGGCACATTTAGCCCGAGAAGGAAGAAAAGAAACAGAAAAACGAGCGGGAGGAGGAGCACGACCACAGAGAAAACACTCAAACACGTGAGAAGGATGACGATGATGATGGCGATGCTGACGATAATGATGGTGACGATGATGACGACGGTGCTGACGACCTTGATGAAGGTGGTTGTGTTTCCCCCTTGTGCTGGCGGACCTCACGTTATGTTGCAGAACCCTGCCTCGAATTCCGCGCTGAGGCTGCGACGCCAGCCGCGGGCGCGGGCCACGAAAACCGTAAGCGCTACTCTATTTTTTGACACCAAAACAAGAATCTGCGCTGGAACCGCGGAAGGAACCGCTGCTCCGCTACCATATATGGGCGGCGTGAAAACCGCCGACCCCTTGGGGATCATCGGGATGAGGAGGATGAGGAGGATGAGGAGGATGAGGAGGAGGAGGAGGAGGAGGGCAATTAAGGTCTCCTGAAGACTTTCCCGGATATGCAAAAGTTAACAACAAGTTGCGAACAACTGGAAAAATGAGGGTGCCCTCCAGCACTCTGCGACGTCCATGCCGGATCAACTTTTCACGCTCCCGAAAAGTAACTTTGCGCCGTCCGGAAAGCAACTCGCAACCATACTCCGCAAGTCAAAAAATTGACGAGTAACTTTTCCGCACGCGGGGGAAGTTGCCGGAAAGTTGGAAAACATGGGAAAGGTTACTTTTTCCTGGTCTCCGCAAGTCACAGAAAATTGACAAGTACATTTTCCGGACGCTGGAAAGTTGACGGAAAGTTGGAAACATTGGAACAGTTACTCTTCCGAATCCCCGAAAGTTTACGAAAAGGTTACAAAAGGTTAGAAAAGTAACTTTCGGGGATTCCTGACAATTCGCGAAAAATTGAAAACATTGAAAAATTGATCCGCTGGCGCGAGACCCGGCCGGCGCCGGTTCCGGGGGGGTGGGGGGTGCGGGGGGAGGCGGCATGATTTACCCCCCCCCCACAACAGTTCAGTGCACGCACTGATGGGGGAGACTGACGGTGAGATCCATAGGGCTCACAGGGCTCATAGGGCTCGAAGGGCTCACAGGGCTCATGTGGCTCATAGGGCTCATAAGGCTCATGGCGCTCACAGGGCTCCTAATGCTCATAGGACTCACGAGGCTCATAAGGCTTGTAGGGCTCAGAGGCCTCACAGGGGCTCAGAGGGTTCCCGGGAGGCCCACACAAGGGAGAGCATATCCGCCGCATTTAAAACCCCCTTAAATGCAACAGGCCCTTGTGGCTCCCGGGAGGGTCCGCGAGAGAGCGAAGACCCGCTGCACTTAGGAACACCCTAAGTGCAGCGGGCTGTTTTGGCCCCGGGCGGCCCTCATGGGGCTTCAGGGCTCAGAGGGCTCACAGGGCTCAGAGGATTCCCGGGAGGCCCACACAAGGGAGAGCAGATCCGCCGCACGTAGAGCTCCCTTACATGCAGCGGGCCCTTTTGGCTCCCAGGAGGGTCCGCGAGGGAGGGCAGACCCGCTGCGCTTAGGAACCTGTTAAGCACAGCGGGCTGTTTTGGCTCCGGGCGGCCCTCATAGGGCTTATAGGGGTCTTAGGGCTCAGAGGGTTCCCGGGAGGCCCTCACAAGGGAGAGCAGATCCGCCGCACTTCAAACCTCCTGAAATGCAGCGGGCCCAGCAGCCTCCCGGGAAGGTCCGCGTGCAAGGGCAGACCCGCTGCACTTAGGATCCCCCCTCAAATGCAGCGGGCTGTTTTGGCCCTGGGCGGCCCTTATAGGGCTCATATGGCTAATAGGCCTTATAGGGCCATAGGGCTTGTAGGGCTCAGAGGCCTCACAGGGCTCAGAGGGTTCTGGGGAGGCCCACGCAAGGGAGGGCAGACCCGCTGCAATTAGGAACCCCTTAAACGCAGCGGACTGTTTTGGCCCCGGGTGGCCCTCATAAGGCTTATATGGCTCATAGGGCTCACAAGGCTCAGAGGGCTCACAAGGCTCAGCGGGCTCCCGGGAGGCCCACACAAGGGAGAGCAGATCCGCCGCACAAAAAAACCCTCAAATGCAACAGGCCCTTGTGGCTCCTGGGAGGGTCCGCGAGGGCGAGCAGAACTGCTGCACTTAGGAACCCCTTAATTAAGTGCAGCGGGCTGTTTTGCCCCTGGGCGGCCATCATAATTAGGGCTCATAAGGGTTACAGGGCTCATAGAGCTTGTAGGGCTCATGGGGCGCACAGGGCTCAGAAGTTTCCCGGGAGGCCCACAGAAGTGAGAGCAGATCCGCCGCACTTCAAACCCCCTGAGATGCAGCGGGCCCTTTTGGCTTCCGGGAGATCCGCGAGTGAGGGCAGACCCGCTGCACTCAGGAACCCCTTAAATGCGGCGGCCCCGGGCGGCCCTCATAGGGCTCGTAGGGCACATGGGGCTCACAGGGCTCAGAGGGGTCCCGGGAGGCCCACACAAGGGAGAACTGAGCCGCCGCACTTTGCACGCCTTTAAGTGCAGCGGGCCCTTTTGGCTCCCGGGAGGGTCCGCGAGGGAGGGCAGACCCGCTGCACTTAGGAGCCCCTGAAGTGCGGCGGGCTGTTTTGGCTCCCAGGCGGCCCTCATAGGGCTCATATGGCTCATAGGCCTTATAAGGCCATAGGGCTTGTAGGGCTCAGAGGTCTCACAGGGCTCAGAGGGTTCCCAGGAGGCCCACACAAGGGAGAGCTGATCCGCCACATTTAAAACTCCCTTAAATGCAGCGGGCTGTTTTGGCTCCCAGGAGCGTCCGCGAGGGAGAGCAGACCCGCTGCACTTAGGAACCCTTTGATTGCAGCTCGCTGTTTTGGCCCCGGGCGGACATCCTCGCAACTCTGACCTCGGATATGCCTTGCCCCATGGCGGCTTGGCCGCTTTCGTCTGGGTTACGAGATGCCCTGGGAGTAGGTGGTCGGGCCACTTTCGCCTGAGACAGCCTCGCAACTCTGACCTCAGGGACGCCCTGCCCCATTGCGGTCCGGCCACTTTCGCTTGAGACATCCTCGCACCTCCGGTTTCCGAGATGCCTTCAGC